GGATTGTATAGGATATTCATGTTGACGCAGTCCACGGGACTTCCTCCCTCGTTTCGAGTGAAAACGTGCTTAGCTTTCGTCCATCATATGATGGACATCGTCAGAGCTGGGCGTCAATCTTAACACTAGGCCAAGAAGACTATCCGGCTTTTTCTTACCTTTTATATGGACTAAGCTAAGCCAATATGAATATCCTATACAATTCGGCTGCAGTACAACGAGATTCATCCGTCCTCATCTGGTGAGATCGACCAACGAATCTCTTCTTCATGCAACTGCAGTACAACGAGTTTCATCCGTCCTCATCTGGTGAGATCGACCAACGAATCTCTTCTTCATGCACTTCATCCGTCCTCATCTGGTGAGATCGACCAACGAATCTCTTCTTCATGCACTTTCATACGAAATGAAGGTCCAATGTTATCTCAGGAGATTCTCCGTCAACCGGCTGCAGTACAACGAGTTTCATTCGTCCTCATCTGGTGAGATCGACCAACGAATCTCTTCTTCATGCACTTTCATACGAAATGAAGGTCCCTCTAACAATGTTATCTCAGGAGATTCATCGAAACCCAGTTTCTCTTCGTATCTAAAATAATGCTCATGTTAACAACCATTTAAAAGTAAGATCTTTTCGTGTGGTGATAAAGGCACTAAGGAAAGCTGCCTTCTTGATACTCTTGCTCTAAGGAGTAAATGAGAATTTCGGATGCTCATTTATGACTTCCTTAAATGAAGCTTTCATAACTAGCTCATTTGTGGGCAATATATTAAAAGTAACGTTAAGGCATTAATTTCAACTAGGTAGATATCTCTCCATGTAGGCCTCTCATTACAACTTTAGCTTAAGGCCCTGTTCGATTTATTTGATGGGAAGCAAAAATTAATTAATTAAATTCAAGATGTAGGATCAAGTTTTAAATACTCTAGGCAAATTAAAATTGAAAGAATTAGTGAAATTTTTCAGACAATCTCCCTCTTTTCTAGCTTTTATCTGCACACTAACATTTCAAGTGATATTAACATCAACTCTTATCCAAGTATGATTAGGTTTTTAGCTCTACCAATCAGATTCAGCATGTGAGCTCAAATTGGAGAGGGTTTTAGCCAAGTTTGAGGAAGAGTGAGGATTAGTATAATTGAGAAAAAGAAGCAGATAAAATGTAGATATACGCAATTCAAATTCATGATAATGATTCAAATATTTTGCATCTGATATATGAAGCCTGTTTACCCTCTTTCATCCCATCGAATCGCCCTATTATTTCTATGGTGGCTCGGTGAATTGCACTAATAAAACTCGACCTCTTATTTTTTGAGTAAGAGGAAGGAAGATTCCTATAAAAATTTCGTTCCCGATCCAAACTAATTTATTCTTCGGTGCGTATTGATTCCAGGTTTGCCGAAGATAAGAATGCTTGATTGTTCTATACCATTTAGAGCAGCCCTGGATAAAAGGCGCTTGACCTAATGTTCTAGCCAAAATATATATAAAATGTTATCCACACTTGAGAGTCTTAGCCGATCGAATCACGCCGAGGAAAATCAATCCTTTTGCTTGTTGTTGTGAGTTGAAATCTAGGTTTCTCTTGCTAAGCTAGTGACTAAATAAAAAGTTCATTATACATTCAGATTGAGTTGGTATCGAAATCCTAAATTTTAAATCCACAACTTAGTGAGCAATGAATAAAGTTAATAGTGGAATCCCCATTCTCCAATTGAATGTATCACTTGCAAATTTCGGAGTTTTAATGCTTTCCAGCCCCTTATCCATATTATTTAATTCTCCTTTGCTGGATAATACTCACTCCATTCGACTTCTCAGTATTTGAAAGTATCATCTCGCTTATCTAACCACCCTTTATGCTCATGCTTCAATAATGAAGATAATTATCATAACCATGCAATGTTCTATTTCTAGTTTACAGTTGTGAGTAGTATACGTGTTAATTGAATATGACCTAAACCTCCTCTAAATAAAAAGCCGGACAGATAAGACTCACTATTCAAATTATTGCTTTACATTATAAGGAACAACTGCCTTCTAGCTTATCTAGTCTTTCATTATCCTCATGAATAACTAATGAAGATAAATAATTTGAAGTGGGTTGATCTGGTTGTCGCAACTTGGTCTTGTTGTCAGCGCGACGAACGCACCTAGTCCGAAGTCGTCTGCCATAGTAGTTGTCATGATTCCCAGCATCAGACAGTGGACTTGGCACATTCTCAAACGTTTCGCCGACATCGTAATCGACACCATTAGTGAGTTTTGCCATTCTCCTCAAAGAACGGAATAATTATCATTACTTTACAATAGTCACTTCTTAGTTTACAGTTTTGTGAATAAGCTAAAATTTTAATCAAATATTGCTGATAGCTCCTCATTAAAATATATTAAGCAGAACACAGTAATCAGTGGGTCACTCTATCTTGAAAGTTAATATTTCTACATAAAAAGAAGCTAGGCAAAGAAGCCTTTTGACGAATAGGATGAGCTTCCAAGAGGCGATCTATTATTGCATATAAAATAATTGCACCCCCATAATGCTGTCATTCAAATTCCTTTCAATAGCATAAGAAAAGATTACCAATTTACAGTGATAAAATTATGGGTTTATAAGGGACGATAATTCAGATAATTCGAAGCCTAAAGTTCCCTCAAAACCAGATGCGGACAAAAAATAAATGAGAAATCTAGTTACTATGATGTCATAATGATGGTGAAAGATGTTTTCCTACCATTTGGGAAGCAAATAAAGTGGAATGCAATGGCATCATGGGGACTATTCTTATAATCTAGAAGAAAGACACTATCAGTCGTTCATAATCATTACGGAGCCAGGGTGACTAAACCTCTTACCCAAGATCTAGTGAGAGTCTGGAAAACCTAATCAGTAAAAATATATGCCTTAAGGATCGATGAGAATATTGTAAAAGCGTTTTAGCTGGAACGACTTTTGTCATCAGATCGTGAAATAGAAATACCAAACGTTAGAATCAACGCTTCCAAAATCTTAGAATTTTGCACAAAGTTTGTCAAAGCCCGATCTGCGATCACGCCAACCGGAACTAGAAGTGTTCAAGCTTACACTAGTATGGTGTCTGAATACTGAAGTCAGATGACAATTATGGGCTTAAAAGGGTAAAAAAATTAAGCAAAAGAAAATAATTCAGATATTCTGCACAAACCGAATATTGCCTTCACGGTCGCCAACGGCTAGATGAATTCCATTAGGACTGACTTGCACTGTTCTAACGCCAAGATGCATCTGACCTGTATCTCGGTTGGTAATAGAGGAAGTGCTTCGAGATTTGGACACCTCAGACGAACTTAGGCAGCTGAATGACGTTGGTAGTGGGACTGAAAGCATAGGAATTGGAGGCATAGAGTCCGACGGGCTGCTAGCGGCTAAACAATCGCCTGGAGCATTACTGGTAACATATGAGCCTGTAAAATGAGATATTATTTGTAAATGGAGGGGTACCGATCTTCAAAGGGTAAAAAAGATTAAAATATTTGAAAATATAGTTCTGGGCAGCTAATTTACTAAACTTGCCAAATAATTCGCCTGAATGTGAAAAATGCTAATACATTAAAAATAATATTATTCATATTTTTCCATTTTAGTTAAGCGATTAGACTCGAGTCATGTTCAGGATAAAAATATAAAGGGACATTTTGATCAACTTCATTTTCGATTAGAGCAATTAACAATAAGTGAAAGTCACAAACAAGGGAGGGAATTGGTGGGTTTATATGGGAATACAAGAGCATTGAAGCATTGTCCCCCATTTTTGCAACCTTGCTGAGTCAAACTGAAGACCAGAGAATCTAGAAAAGATTAGGTTTTAATAATTAATTGAGGGCACATAAAATATGTGCAAGGAATGAAGGTAAAAACGAAAAAGACATTGTGGAGAAGTTTGGATATGGCTGCCTGAAAGCTGAGAATATCATAATTAACTTAATTGGCACGTATAGTTCAGATGCAAGTTTCAGTGGAACGCGTTGAGTGAATCAAAAGATGAAGCAAAGTGGCCAAGATTTAACAAATATAAAAGGTTAAACGTAAAAAATAGAGTGAAAGTTGCCTATGTGGGACCAGGAGAATACAACCTTCAAGGTTCAATAGAAGATATTCGCAGTTTGTGCATACTGAAGACTTGATTTACTCTGGCTAAGAACGATTTAGGGTTGGTAGCTGCGTAAGGAATAGATACAATCGAAAACTGATGGGCATTTCCCGCTTTATCTCTGATGAAAAAATTAAAACTTTGTACCCAGTAAATATAATCGCAGAATCTTTAACCAGACGCAATAGTGAGCAGTCTGGGCAGATTAGGTCCATCCGAAGATTCTGCTGATAGCATATAGAGTTTAGGTCGTCCCGATCTAAAAATGATTTAGTTCCATCGATAAGATATGTGCAAAAAACAAATACATAGTAATATCTTAAGCAGGTTTGCAGTAATATAGTCTGTGCCCCACGAAGTAATTGGCTATTCAATTTTATGGAAAAGAGCACGAAGTAAATTCAGAGCTGGAGTGTTACCATTCAAAAAGTGCATATTTAAATAGTTAATGTCCTAAATGAGGACAAGAACAAGATTACCTAAAAACTCAAGTTTTCGATGCAAAATTAAAGCCCCGATAGAATTTTGTTTTATTATGATTAGAGTCAAACGGTACCTAAAATCTAAAAAGAAATACAGATTTATGTTGGTTATGATAAACTAAGTATAAACAATGCTGAGTTAGCTCAAGCCCTTGGAATCCACCTTTGATTATTCATTTTACTGAGCTTACTCAGTAATTAGCCAAAGGACTGAGAAGATAGTGAACATTTAGGCAGACTGCATATAACTATTGAAAACAATCGAAAATCAGCACTCAATAATGTTAGTTGGCCACTACCCTAACGCAGAGCTCGTTTATATCATTCATTCAGGCAGCATAGCAATTTGGGTAAATAGCGCTTGCGATACCAAGTTTGTCCCTAAGGGGAAATGCCCTGGGCATGAATCATATATAGAGCACCCTCAAGATATAATTGAAAAAGTCCAGCCTCGGTGAGGAGGCACTTATAAACATAGAGTAATTATATTGAATATAAAAATTATGTCCGATAAGATAACGGATCAGTATCAAAAGTAGAAATCTGAAACCATGTGAATTCAAGGAATATTTTGATGAAAAATAACTTCTACCAATAATGACAATTTGGTAAAAATACAGTATTGGTGTGTCAGACTTGCGGTTAGAATTTTCTATTTATACATCAGATGGAAGCATTCATATAATACTTGGGGGCGAAGTAATGGAATTAATTGATGACCAAACTCACTTTTGATTGCGTCTGAGCTGCATAGATTAGAAAATACAGGATCCGTATAAATGAGACGTTGAAGGGACTAAAAATTAAAAAAAACGCTACTGTAATTCATACACAAGTAAAGAATAGTGACTGCGAATTTCCCTTACAATTCCAACAAGAATTATCCTGATCTTCTATACTTGATTTTGGATATTTTTAGCTCTG